ACAAGGACGAGCCAATATTATAGATTTTACAATATAGTCCATTACTTTTCATTTTCAATGATTTTTCTTTTTTTCCATTGCCTCTCTTTGCGTCATGGCTCCGCCTGAATTCACACAGGTTTCGCTGCTCCGATTGACAAACTGACACACATTACGTCAAGAATCCGCCGCGCTTCGCCGCGTGACGCGCTGCGCGCCGCGACGCGTCAATTACGGTTGTCTTGTCCGTTTATAGACCCTGCTGTGAAAGCGTAATTCTCAATGACATCGTCTCCTGTGAAGAAATCTGACAATAATGAAACTTTCATAAACATATAACAAATGTCAACATCAACAACGCCCTGATCAACAATGAAACGTCAAGGCAATAACAAATCAGACAGCACTATGGCTTTTTGACCGCAAAAATTGGGCGATCAAATATGTTTTAGGAAGTGACAATGAAACGAGAATGTAGTAACAGTGAGCAAATCAGACTAAAAACATTCGGCGCAGTTCGGGTTGGTAGGGGCATTTTGCTGGTCCCAATGGGTCACAAACGATGCCTCTGTGAGAACTGTAAATGCCTTGAAAGCCAGTAGCAACAGCTTCGTTCACATTGACAAGATCCTACAGATCTCACCAAGGTAAGACGTGTAAGTTAACAGGAACTAACAAAAGAACTAGCGAAAAAGCAAAATGCCCCTCACAAGCCAAACAACGCCATAAATCCTATAAAATACCAAACTGACCCAATATCTTTAAGAGAACAGAGTTCACATTCACCAATTTAAGGGTCGACGTGGTAAAGAAATCTTCTCTATTTTATACAGTACGTGGGATCAATGAGCTCTTCTCGCTTCCGTTCACACCTGCTTATGTTGGCAATTCTATTGTGGTGAATAACAGAACGAGCTCGGACTTGTAAAAGATATTAGGAAGGAATTACACCAGAATGAAGGATTTCAAGTGTAATCCAGGCAGTGGGTCAATTTTTTCCAAGCTGCAGCGATCGGCAAGAACTGCAAAAATGGCGCTCGCAGCATTTGCTAGCTTAATCTAGCAGATTCGCATCATTACTAGGGTACAGCATCGTTGGGAGAATCCTATCAAACCGTAGTATTCGCACTTGGTCTCTGGGGGGTGGGGGGTTGCTTCTGGCATTGATGAATCCTCGGAAACACGAAAAATTTGGATACAAGGAATTACTGGTCGTTCAATGACCCCCCCCCCCCCCCAGCCACTCGATGGCAGTTTTCCTGTGAGGACCAGAAAAATCCCGGGAGACTGGGAGAAGTGACAGTAAGTTGGGAAAGTTCAGAAAGATGGGCGGCAGTATTGTTAAGAGGGTATGTCGCAATAGAGGAGGAAGTTTGGGGGGGGGGAGGGAGACAATATAGACAATCGCTGTTTCACGGGCATTACGATGCCCGCCCTACCCTACCTGCAACTCGGGCATATTGGCCCACCTGCCATAGAGCTGCCTGAGTTTCACTTCTTACAAACAATATTAACGGATGCTCACCATTCTTTCGGAGAATTCCAATGCTTCTTCTGCTACATGGTGTAAATCATTTTCCCAAACTAATCGATTACCGAATACATCAGTTAATACAGTCATCAGCGATAAGCCTAAAAGCAAGCATGAATTATCGTGTGAATCATGTGTGAGGTTTAAAATACGTGCACGAAAACTATTAGCAAGACTTGACCTGGGAGACGGGCAAGAGAATCGTAAATTGCCGCTTCGTCGCGCGCGGCGCATCGAAATTCATGCAGACAAGGATATGGTAGACACCTATGTCTATTTCTGGTCATACATCGTCTGTTCTCGACGTCGCAAGCGACGCCCACTAGCGTGGCGAATTACGATTCTCTTGCCACATACCCGCGCGACGTCGCATGCGACGCCTATCAGCGCGGCGAATTAGGATTCTCTTGTCAGGTCAAGTCGCCCCTACTCTGCTCTTCGCCCTCCTCCCAAGGAAAAAGTATTTGGTGAATTCAGTTGATGTCAATCAGCGCGCAGACGGCAGAGGGAGGTAGCCTGGCCAAGCCAACTATCCCAACTACAAGGGGCGCGGACCTTTCCGATCAACAAATGCTTTGGAAAAAAAATCTACAACGCACCTCCTCAGCAACATCGCCCTGTGAAGGTGAAACGTACAAACTCATACATTTCTGCATAAGTATTGAGGCATTTTGAGTGGTTATCGTCCGCGCAGCAGCTTCCGCCATTCGACGGGGATCAAAGTGGCGAGTCAGAAGGCATGCCAACAAGTGGTCATTACCTTCTTTCGTATTTTCCTCAGATGATCCACTGAAACACTATAATTTGCGCAAAACTGGAGAGCAACTGAATTTATACTTTATACGCGCACTGCGGCGTTAGACAGCAGTTATCAAACAAATTTATAGATGAACTATTGATAAAATGGTGCAGCTGGTTCGAGGGGGGGGGGCAGCGAACGGTACTGAGCCAAGCTCGTACGGGTCACCTTGTAAAGACCTGTAATTTCCTGTAACTGAAATGGCTCACTAGTACCATTTACATTTTCACGAGAGTTTACAAGTCTCATCAAAATAAGACCTGTTAGTTAACATGAATCAGCACAAAAAAAACTAGTGAAAGGGCAAAATGCCCTCCCCCCTTCAGCCGAATAAAGCCAAGAAACTAAGAGATCGTTATGAAAAGAAGCGCCTTTAATCAACATGCTGCACGTGGAACGCTTCTACATAAGCAATCAAAATATGCAAAACTGGCAAGGAAAACAAGCAAATAATCGAGGTACAATGAATCCCATTGTGATTTGCAAGTCCTAAAACACTCTTCTGTAACAATAAGCTTATTGGAACCACTGGAGCTAATTTCCCCTCAATGTGGGGGAGGCAAAAAATACGCACAGCGAAAGCAGGCTCGCAAACCCTAGGAATAGAATCATAACATAAAAATAACCTCACCTGGCTACAAAATTCAAAAAGACTGCAAGGCACTGTTCAGAAAGCGGATCAGTTGACTCTATGGCTGAGCGAACCAGGCTAATTTGATCCAAATTCAGACACAACTTCATAGAAGGATGCCAGAGAGCTGAAGGAGTAAAAAGCATTTGAAAGAACCCTTCTCTGCGAAACAAATGTTTCTGCCCAATGGGATTAGCCTTACCTTAAGCCGAACACGCTCGTCCTCCTGAGCACTTCACATATGTTCTTCAGCTCTTTTGAGCTAAAGGACTGCGACGGTAGGAAACGAAGGATGACGGTTTGTTCATCTTTTGAGAGGAAACCATCAGCATTTGCACCTTTTGCCGAGAGGCATTTGAATGCATGCTTCCACTTTCCATCGGCTAACTGGAAAGGATAGGAGATAATGCTACTCTTTTGTAAAAATCTGCTTTGTCAAGTACAGTACAGTCAAAAAATAGGGCGCTGTTCGGCTTGGTGGGGGACATTTTTTTTCGATCTCTGCCGATGTCTCCTGTATTTGACAGGAGTCTACAGGTCTCATCAAACCAAGAGGAACCACCGACAAAAAATAACGAAAAGAGCGCCCTCTAAGCAGCGAGCAGCGCCAGATAGTTATTTGTGAGAGCTTCAAGTGACTCACAGGCTCTTTTACAAAATCTTTCAAGGCAGCATGAAGCTTCTTTTGACCAGCATCTTCCAGTGGGCAAGGAGTACTTGAAAAACTTGAAAACCGTTTAGGAATTTTTGTTCGCCGTCGATTAGCAACCACTTCATGAAGTCTAGATATGCTGAAACTAGCCAGAT